GGTGTGTGATATGATATGTGGGGTGTGTGTGTGTGGTGTGCATGGTGCGTGCGGTGCGTGATATGATGTGTGGGGTGTGTGCATGTTTGTGAGTGTGGTGTCCATGGTGTGTGATGTATGTGGTGTGTGTGTGTGGTGTGTGCATGGTGCATGATATGATGTGCGGGTGTGTGGGTGTGTGATGTGCATGGTGTGCAATATGATGTGGTGTGTGTGTGTGGTGTGTGCATGTGCATGATATGATATGTGGGTATGTGGGTGTGTGGTGTGCATGGTGTGCAATATGATGTGGTGTGTGTGTGTGGTGTGCATGGTGTGTGATATGATGTGTGGTGTGTGTGGTGTACCTGGTGTGTGATATGATATGTGGAGTGTGATATGATGTGGTGTGTGTGTGTGGTGCTCAAGGAGATATAGCAGCATGAGTGGCCAGGCGCCCAGCGGCATGTCCTGCTGTGTGAAGGGAGAGTAGACTTGGGGGCAGTGGTCAGCCTGCTGATTTCATCTGGTGGGACAGTTGCCATGGTGGCCGGGAAGCTTCACGCCACAATAGCTCCCCTGGTTCCAATTCCTGCTGTGCCCCTTGCTGTGTGGGAGAGAAAGTTCTAGTCCTGCGGGCCTCTGTTGCCTGTCTGAAGATGGGTGTAAAATCGGGCTGCTGTAAAGGACCTGATAAGCTTCACTGGTGTAGGACAGTGTCTGACAGGTAGGAGGAGCTCAGCAGGTTTTGAGGAAGTTCAGCAGCTTCCTCTATTCCCAAATACAAAGTTGAAATGCCCCGATCTGGTCAAAGAGTTTGACATTTTATCTCCTCTGAGCTCCTGGCTCCTTGCTGCAGAACCATACCTCTAGCGTGGAATGTTGTGTGTAATATGATCTCAGATGTGTGGAGTTTCTGCCCAGCACACTGAGGACTGCTGGAGATGCAGAGGTTCCAGGCTGTGACCTCAGATTGTACTGACACCCTTGGCCACCCCATTTCTGCTCCCATGAAGACAAGGAAGAGTTTCCCAATTTGTTAGGTCAGCTTTTTTTTCATCAGGAATTCGCTCCACCTGACCAGAACAACTCAGAGGAGGAAAAGTTCATTTTGAGCTCACAGCTTCAGAGGTCTCGGAGCTTCAGAGGTCTCAGTCTGTAGGCAGCGACTCCCTCCCTGTGGGCCCAGGTGAGGCAGAGCATCTGGCTGAAGGGCGTGGTAGAGGACGATGTTGCAGCTCATGGTGGCCAGGAAGCAGAGGGAGGAGGAGAGCCAGGGGACAAGGATAATCCCCTAGGCACCCCTAGAGACCTGCCTACAGGGACTGCTGGGCACAGTAGTCCTTTCAAATTATTAATCCATAAGGTGGATTGATTAGGTCACAGCTACCTGATCATTTCACCTTTTTGGGGAACACCCCATAGCCACACCATAACACAACTCATTTAAATTAAAAAGTATTGAACGATCATCCCTCATAATTAATTGCTCTCAGCTACCCTCTCAGTGGGTGCTTTTACATGTCTCAGCCTCCAGAACTTAAACCATAGCAGAGGAAACAAGAAGGGTGTCTTCTTTGCTCACAAGTGTCTAGATTCCCGGTGTCTAGTCCTCACCATGTCATTTAGAGCAGACACGTTTCAGGATGACTGTCCAGCTCATGGTGGACCTTGCCCTGTGTTCAGGGGTGGTTTCCTGACCTCTGTGTTTGTCCTACATCCCTGTGGCCAAACCCCTTACCCTGGATGGTGTAAGACATGGGCTCCGACCTAATCTGGACCAGACAGGATCTTGTTCCCAGGGATTTGGAATTAGCTCCAAGTGCCTCTCAGTGACTGGGTGGCATCTTTCCTTCAGTTCAGTGGCATCACCATGTCCCCGGGGAAGGCAGGCCAAGGGAGCACCAGTCTATGGAGAGAGGAAGCAGGCATCTTGCTAGGGGTCACCAGGGCTCATTGTGAGTCACTGTACTCTATCCACGTCCACTCCTCAGCTCCTGGACCCGAGACTCCCGCCTATAGGAGGGGCAAGGGCATATTGGATGCTGGCTCTGAGCACCTGGACCAGCCTTGCCAGTGCTGTGAGGGGACATCAGGAATTCGCTCTACCTTACGTGGATTTCAGGATAAAGGGAACTTCCGTGGACAAGGCATTCTCTAAGTCCCTGTGTTTCCACAGAGACAGCGTGTGATGGAGGACAGAGGGGCATTCCAGGATGTGATTTCAGTGAGCACCTGGGGCTGCCTGTCCATGGTGGATGCAGTCCAGCAGAATCAGCCTGCCACCAGGCGGCTGACTGACCACCCTGGGGCATGGTGCCATATTGGAGACATGGAGACACTGCTGTTGGCACTCGGGACTCAGAGATGGCCATAGCCAGGTTGGACTTGGTGAATGGATGTCTGCTGCTGAGCCCATGAGCAGACTTCTTCCTTGCCACCATGGCCACTTTGTCCGTTGGGCAGTGACAGGAAAGAGGCTGGGGAAAGAGGCTGGTTGGTATCCACAGAACGTGTCATCCTATCACTTGATTATAAACTGCTCAGCTGAAGTCACCCTTTCGTGAGCATTCACACGAATACAAGTACCTTCCCTTTTTCGATGCGTGCTGAGAGGGCTATCCACATATTTCCTCCTCAGACCTGTTGGCCCTGATTTTCCAGTCATGCTCCCTTCCAATACTGAACATCTAGCCAAACCAGTGGGCACAGCCCTTGGGTCAGTACCTAGTTACACACTGGGATGGGACGTTTCTCCCTCCAAGCCAACTAAGCAGGCTCCCTGCTGGAGATTGTGCCCCTCCCCCAGAGGATTGTGCTTCATTGCTGTTCTTTCAGGGGGTCAGAGAGGGACAACAGGGCTGTAGCTGGAGAGTCTGATATCCTGCAGAACCATCTGAAAACCAGTCCTGAGTTTTCTGTTGTCAGCTTATTGTAGGGAGGTCCCTGTGAAGCTGTGGTTGTGGACTGGGAGAGAGGGCAGTGTATCCAGGGTGGGCTGTGGCATCTGGACCACTTTCTCATGTAATCAATTGCTTGTGCCTTCAGGCCCTGCTCAGGTCTGGTCTCAATCATACCATTTTCATTTCATGGCGAGTATTCTGTGCACACCCAACTTGAGTATTCTGTGCACACTCAAGTTGGGTGTGCACAGAATACTCGCCATGAAATGAAAATGGTATGAATGAGACCAGACCTGAGCACTTGGTTCATGATGGGGAGCTCAGGTTGCATGGTCAGTTTCATGGTTAACAACCTGCCCTTCACCTTGGAAGGGATACCGAACATGCTGAATGCCACTGGACCCCTAGGAAGCCCACTGAGTTGGAAGATGCTCTACCACCAAGCTACATCCGTACCCCTTTTTATTTTCTTTTTAAAAAAATTTGAGATAGGGTCTTGCTAAGTTGTCTTGGCTAGCCTCAAACTTGTGATTCTTCTGCCTGGACCTCATGAATCACAGAAGTTATAGGCATGTGGCTCTGTGCCTGACATATTTTTCTTTTTCAAGGATCAAATAGATGAGTTGAATAGGATTTGGTGGGTGTCATCATCCCTGCATTCTTTAAGCTCCTGGTAGTGGTTTAATCTCCTCAAGCCTTCGTGGAATGAGGGATCATTTTTGGCCATTTTCCCAGCTAGAGACACTTGGAGTGGCTTCCAATGGGTGATTTCCTTCCACAATAATCCTTTGTCCACAGGTCTGGGAAGCTATGGGAGCATTCCATTAGTTTCAGGTATGGCTACTTCAGTTCTGGAACTGGGGTATCAACCATAGGATGTGTACAGTGATCCATGGACCCCTCATGGGATGGACTAGAGGGCACCCGGCCTCCATAAGCCCCTACTCTGACTGGTTGCCCAGTGACATTTTGGTCTCCTGGATTTGGTTGCAGTTCAGAGCCAGTGTGTAGGAATATTTGGAGAGCTGTCAAGAATGCTGGGTGACACATTTATTTCTCACAGCTGTGAAAGGTGAGTGCTTGGGGCCCATCCAGGGCAGGTGAGCAGGTCTTACGTGAGACATCTGCCCTGACATTTCAGTCTCCTGAAGCCTTGGATCCCTTGCTCTAGAGTGGACTGCAGCAGCTCTGACATTTCAATGCTATCTAGTGTGTGCCACCTCTTGGTCCCTATTTCAGTCAACCAACCAAAGTTAGAGCCCTTTCCAACCCTGCCCATTGCCATCTGAGTCCAGAATCTCCCCCTAGTGGTATCAATCAACACATTGAGCCTGATCCAACTGCGCCCACACCCTGTAACCACGCGCATGTCCACCTATCCCACAGCTTGCTGTTTTTCATGCATACCTGTGGGTTCACCCACAAGGCCCGTATCCAGTTCTAACAAGTCCCTCTCATACTCCCAGAAGGTGTTCCTGACCTCATGAGACCCCTCCGATCCCTGAGCACCTGCAGCAGCATGGTTTGTGCCATGCCTCTGTCCTTGGCCAGTACTAAGGTATGTTATTTAGTTCTCTATGTGCATGGTGCCTGCCGCCCAGAGTTGAGTTCCTCAGGGCAGAAACTCTATCTGTCACTTCCTGTACCCACTGTCCTGTCACAGGTGCATTCTCCAACTGCCAAAGGAAAGGGGTGAAGGCGCTAACCAGTGCCCGGAGCTTGGCATGGATCATAGCCCAGTGCTGCCAGAGATTCAAAAGTCGGAGTTGCATTTCACTTCAGGATGGCTGCTGCACTCTCCTCTCACTGCCATCTGTCGCTTCCCTGCAGCCATCCCTGGCCCCTCACAATCCAGGCTTCCGGAGGCCCCCCCCACCTTTCCTTCCCGGGGCACCGGTCCCTCCCCGGCACTTCCCCAGAAATTGGCGAGAGTGAAGAGCAAACTTCCTGAAGTCCCACCCGCGCCAGCCCCGTGCCTGGGTGTGCGCGCGCGTGCCAGGGGCCGCAGCTGGAAAGGAAACCGCCGGCCTCGCGGAGGAGGAGGAAGGAGCTTCCCCTGCGGCGTCAGCCCCCTGCCCACTTCCCGCTTCCCTCCCGCGGGCGCGGCTGGAACGGCGGGCCCTGGGCATGCCGGGCGCGGGTCTCCAGGGCGCGGCTGGCGGCAGCGGGAGCCATCGCGCAGGTAGGCACCTGGGATCCGGCGAGGGGAGCGTGCTGCCCTCGAAGTCCTGAAGCCTGGGCGTGAGTCTGGTCGCAACTCGGGCCCAGGGGGCGCCTTTCGAGGGGAGGGAAACCGAGGCAGGGCGCGTGTTGCGTGGGGCGAGGGTAGGGCGGGCCTCTGGCTGCAGGCACAGCGCGGACCTGTGGTCCCTGCCCCAGAGTGCGGATCCTGTAGTCGGTGTCCACGGGGCGGGGAAGGCGCAGGCGGTGGCTGGGGACCCGAGCGTGTCCGCCCGTGCCTGGAGACACCCAGACGCAGGCAGCTGGTGGGGAATGGGAGGGAGAGCTGGGGCAGACGGCTCCCGTAGCGGCTGCTGGGCGCCCGGTTCCACCGCCCACTTCCGACTTGGGACAGTGACGCCTGGCCGCTGGGCCAGTACAGACTACTCCATTTCCACCACCGAGCACGGGCCACCTGCCAACCCCCAGTGACGACATGGGGCCATAAGTGGATGGCTACTGCCAACAATGACAGGACTTCCACCATCCCACCCGTAAATACACGACAGCAGGAAGCTGGAGCTTTGCCGGGCCAGGAGAGGCCGACCACTGGACTCCGGGAGCCCACTTCCTGGAACATGGCCTCAGCGTTGCTGTGTGAAAGCACTTTGCAGTGTGTGTGGCTGGAGCACAGATGGGAGCTGGAGAGTATCAGGGTGTCAGCGCTGGAGGAGGGCCTTCTGCACCCAGGCCTGGATTCAGCCTCAGTTTGCTCACATATAAGATGGAGCTGACTCAGGCCCCTGCAGTTCCAGTGTGGTGGAGGGAAGCTTCTGGCCCCAGGCACAAGCCATACAGCAAGCTTGCAGGAAACAGCTCAGCTGCCATCTTCCCTAAGCAGACCTAATTAATTTGGAGTAAGTCAGGACACCAGTTTGATTTGATTAAAGCATGAATAGCAGGGCATCTTAAGAGAAATTTAATTGTATTGTGCTCAGATGTGGCACATGAGATCCTCTGAGGTTCAGTTGAGACTGATTTCTGTGCTCTGTGACCTTGAACCTCAGTTTTTCTCATGCTTTCCAAAAAAAAAAAAAAAAAAAAAAAAAAAAAAACCCGAAAAGAAAAAAGAAAGAAAAGAAGAAAGAAGGAAAATTGAGGGGTGTAATTACTGCCTTTTGCACTGACAGCGTTGCCTGTGGATCAAACAGGGTAAAACATCCGAAACAACTTGTGGAGTTGGAGTCGTGTGTGCAAACATGACACCACATTTTGTGGAAGGAATGGAGCGCCTGCAGTGGTGCAGAACTCCAGAGCGCCAGCTGCACTCTTATGAGTCCCTTGGATGAACTCCTCCCCAGGCTGCTGCTGCAGTCCTCTTTTGCCCTCTGATGCAGCTGGACTCCAGGGACCTGCTTCTTGTTCCAGCTCGCACAGTTGTTCTGCGGGCACTCAGGATTAGAACCTCGGTGTGGGTCCCTCTCACAGTGTGATCCCAGCCACTGGTTGATTGGGAGTTGCTGAGTGGGGCTGAGTTCAGAGCAGACCTAGGTTAGGTTGTAGGCAATGCACCCTACATATTTAGAAACCCTGGAGTGTAAGAGTGAAGTGTTAGCCTTGGCAGAAGAAATTGAAATAATCTTGATTTCTTTCATCCCTATTTTGTGAAATCCCGTTGAAAACTACCTTTTTTTTTTTTTTTTTTTTAAAAATAACATTTGAAAGAATGGCTCTTGAAATCTTTTCAGAAATCTCAGTGGAAACTGGATCAAGATTTTTTAAAAAAATATTTATTTATTTTTAGTTTCTTAGGTGGACACAATATCTTTATTTTATTTTTATGTGGTGCTGAGAATCGAATCCAGTGCCTCACGCATGCTAGGTGAGCGCGCTACCACTTGAGCCACATCTTCAGCCCTGGATCAAGGTTTTAACACTTAAGTTTGCTGGAACCCGCAGGAGACTTCTGAGGTAAAGGCCAGGTGGGGAATGCTTGTGATGGTGTTGCAAGGCTAACTGCCCCCAGGACCTTACTACCGACCTGAGACGCCCTGGGGAGAAGTGGGACCTTCAGAGAGGAGAGGGAAAGCTGGCTTCTGCTGCAGAAACAATTCCTGCTTCATTTGCTTCTGAGATGAAGTTTCTATTATTGATTTTTATTTCCCCCAAAGCAATGCATGCTTATTACAGGAAGCACAGAAAACTTTGAATGAGCAAAAACCATCTTGCATTGAAAACACTGATCTGTCTGGGCGAAGTGGTGCACACCTGTAATCCCAGCGACGTGAAAGGCTGAGGCAGAAGGATCACAAGTGCAAGGCCACTCTCAGCAACTTACTGAGCCGTGAGGACTTAGTGAGGCCCGGTCTTAGAATAAAAAATAAAAAGGGCTGGGGACGTAACTCAGTGGCTAAGCACCCCTGGGTTCATTCCCTGGTACAAAAGAAAAAACAACCACCCTGCAACCTCCCAAGCAGCCTGGCATCTCGGTTCTTGTCTGTTTCTGTGATGTGTCATCGATTTCTAGTAGTTCCCAACATGGGATCCAAGCTAGATTGTTTTGTTCAGTGAACACAAGTGATACTTGTTCATTGCTCAAAACAAAGACATCAGTGTACAAAAGGGAACCAAATTAGTATGCTCATTAAAACTTTTCCTTGCTAAAAAATATTCTAAAATTTTAGGGGGATGTGACTTAGTGGTGGAGTGAGGTCCTGGGTTCCATCTCCATCACTGAGTTCAGATCTTGACATTTTGATTGGAGAACTATTAGAAGTTCAGTTATTGCTGTTTGAATTTTAGAGTTTGATGCTATAGTGGGCATCTTTCTGAGCTCTGAAGATCAGGAAGAGCAAGGTTTCTGAGTCTAAGCATGGGTGACATTTGGACCAGGGTCAGTAGACTGGAGCTGGAGTCGTTCTTTAATGCTGATGATGATTGAGTTTATGAGCAGCTGCAGGCAGCCCAGGCAGAGCCCACTGCCCCAAGACTTTGGCAGCCTTCCTGGAGACAGGCGAGTCCTAGGCACATTGGGGGGCCACCTGTGGACACCATCCTTGGGCATCTTGTGTGGCTTTTTCTTGACTGTGGTAGACAGGCCTTGGCCGGTGACTTAGGTGCAAGAATTAGGCACTTTTTTTTTTTTTTTTAATATCAGATGCTTCAGGCTTTCAAACCCAAATTTCTCTTTCGAAATCAGAGTTCACCAGAGCTTCTTTGAGTGCAGACTTTGGGGTCAGCTTCCATTTCCTGATAGAGGCAGGAAAGGACTGTGGCTGGACAGTGAATGAAGTGTTTGTGTGCGGCTTTGGGGAATAGCCAGGGCCCATGTGGTGTGCTCCGCTGCTCCTGTGACCGCTGGCCTGTGCCTGCTTCCTTTCCCTCTGCTCATCCCCATTGGCCACTTGCATCTTCTGATGGCTCAGAAATGGGTTGTGATGTGCTGCTGCTTCCTCAGCCACTCATGGCCACTTCCTCAGGATCAAAGGCCAGCGATGGGAACAAGCAGGATCACAGAGCTTCTTGCTGGCTGAGCCCCTGGTGCTCTGGCAGCGAGGCCCTGATGCCCTCATCAGCGGGTACAGATCTCTGCGCTGTGCACTTGGAGGCCTCAGAACTCTACGTTGCCTCTCCCATGTCAACTTCAGGCTAATTTCCCAGCCTCACGGTGCTTGTCCTGAGACCATGTGGGTGAAATTCTGGTCAGCGGAAGCATCTCCCCACTGTGGTGGATGGGTTTGAGCTCTTGGAGACACAAAGGTAAGGCAGCAAAGTCCTTGAGGGGAGGGACTGCCAGCTCCGTCACTCATGGCACAGAGCAGCGAGGGTGTGCGTGGCAGCAGAGGTCAGGGTGTTACTGCTGTTGACCGGTGACGAGTCCTTGCTTCCCCATTGTTAAAGAATAACACCAGAGAAGCACACCGAGGCAAGGTCAGAGTGGAAATTAGAAGTTTATTAAAGGACAGCAGAAAAGACTTCTCCCGGAGGAAGAAGGGGACCCAAGAGATGGAATCCGTGGAAGTGCGATTGTTTCCCCTTTTTATAGTTCTTTCAGTGATGGGATGCAGGTGGGAAGGCCCGAGGGGTGGGACACAGGTGGGCCAAAGAAGTGATCTGGTCAGGAAGGACTTCTGAGTCAGCATCTTCAAGTTTGCTGGGGGCTGTTCATTAACACTTCTTTGGGATGGGCTCTGGGCCTTGGACTTTTCCATACTTCATTAACATTCCAAGAGTTGTTCAACTTTTCCCAGAATTCATTCTAAACATGGCCTCCATTTTTGATCTTACTTGATATTAGACCCGATTTACCTAACTACACTGACTACCTAACTTTAAATATGGCTTCAAGGGATCTGCTCTGTGCTCAAAGGACAGGAAGGCAAGGGCAGCAGCAGAGAGGGGAGGACCTGGCTCTCTTCTCCTGGCCCCAGGGTTCCCGGGGGCTGGGTTGCAGCCCTAGTTCTGTGCAATCCGTCCCCACTTAAGACGTACAAAGTAAAGTCAACCCGATCTTTTTTTTGAGTCATCGTGGCTCCTGAAAACTTACATTTCCAACCATATACATTTGCTATTCAGGTTCAGTGGCCTTCTCCTCATTCATTCATGTGGCACTGACCGGCTGTCTCACTGGTCCAGAATCAGGAGCAGCATTAGAGTCACATGTTGGTAAGGTGTCAATGTGTGACTCCTGTGAGAGGAAGTCAGCTGTCCTTTGACAGAGTGGGCCCATTTGAGAGGTGGAATTCCTTTTGTGCAGGGAAGCAGGTAGCCAGTGTTGGATGAGTCTGGGGAGGCTGTGAGGAGGTCTGGGTCTGCTGAGATGTATGGGCAGCCCTCCAGTTCCCGGGCTCTGTGGTAGGTGGGGATTGGTGATTTCCTGCCCCTGCTCACTGGGCTCTACCTTGCACCTCCTTCCTGCCCCGCCCCTGCCCCCAGGTGGTTCCGTTCCCGACCTGGACAGCACCTGCTGGGATCGCGTGGTCCGGCCCCCACTCCCCAATAGCTCTGCCAGTAATAGAAGCC